TGATAATAAAAGCAGTTTAAATTCTTACCAGTGCCACATCTGTGCTTTTCAAATATAATCTCCATGACAACCCTCCCTTTACAGATGGGAAAACTCAGGATCAGCATAGAGAAGAACTCATTTATTTACCTAAGGTCACCCAGCAGAATCAGGACTAGAACTCAAATCATCCTACACAGCCCTAGGATCCACCCAGTTGCTCAGGTCAAAAACACAATAGTCAACCTTGACTCCTTCCGTTTTTTTCCTCCCTGTGCCTAATCCATTGTTCCAGTTGGCTCCAGTTTCCAAAATACATGTTCACGTCTCACTATCCCACTACCGCAGCCCCAGTGGAAACCACTGTCATGTCTCATATGAGCTTCTCACTGAGCACCCTGCCTCCATGCCAGCCTGTTGCTCCTACCCCATCAACTCTCTACACTGCAGTCAGAGTGATCTTTTTCTAATCTTCTGCTAAATATCCTTACCTGTAGCATATCTCAGTGTCCTGAGAGAGAATTAAGACCCAAAGAGAATGGTTTGAGCGACTGTTTTCTCCATTTTTCTGAAGACGCTACCAACTAATACCATTCTCTGATACAATAGGAGATAATCCAATTCATTATATGCAATGGATGCCTTAGAGTCTTGGGGCTTAATTCTACAAAAACTGGGTGGAGTCCAAAAGTTTCCTGTCACACTTCAAATACCAGTGACCACGACCTACAAGAACCATGTGACCTGATATCTACCACACCTTCACCTCTGCAGGTTCATTTCCTACTACTCTTTTCCTAAGCACAGAAGCTCTATGCCCTTCTTCAGTGGCAGAAGCCTCACTCCTACCTCAGGGCTTTGACAGGAGCTGTTTCCATGGCCAGATATCCCTGCCAGGCCATCCAGAGTCAGCTCCTTCTGGTATTCAGGTCTCAGCTCAAAGGCTACCAACTCAGACGCCTGCCCAGACACCTCAATTAGACACTGCCAATTCCTGCTGTTCCACTGCCTGTTTTATGTCCTTTACAGTACTTACTTAACATGATCTGAAAGTGTCTTCTTTCTCTGTTCACTTACCTGTTGTGTGTCTCCCCAGTTAGAGTTGAGTTCCATAAGGCAGAAAACTTTTCACAGAGAAGCAATCTGTAAAAATATGATACGAAAATTTATCAGACATTTATTATGAACCAGTCACTAAGTTAAGAGCCTTGCAATGTATCATTTTATCAGTTCCAGCACTGTACAACAGAAATACAGTGTAAGACATTTAAACATTTTTAATTATCTAATAATTTTTTTTTTAGTTGGAGTCTCACTCTGTTGCCCAGGCTAGAGAACAGTGGCACACTACTGCCACCACAGCCTTGAACTGCTGGGCTCAGGCGATCCTTCCGCCTCAGCTTTCCAAGTAGCTGGAACTACAGGTGCATGCCACCATGCCCAGCTAATTATTTTTTTGATTCATTGTAGAGACGAGGTCTCACCAGGTTGCCCAAGCTGGTCTTGAACCCTAGGCTCAAGTAATCCTCTCACCTCAGCCTCCCAAGTGCTGGGATTACAGGTGTGAGCCACCGTGCCCAGCTATCTAATAATCATATCAAAAGAAGTAAAAAGAAACAAATGAAAATCAATATATCTTATTTAACTCAACATATCAGAGAATTATTATCTCAACAAGTAACTGATTAGTAGAGAGCTATTATATATATAATGGTATGTGTGTACATATAGTGTGTATAAATATACTGTGTGTATATGTATAGTGATGTATGTATATAGTGTGTGTATAGTGGTGTGTGTGTAATGTGTACATAGTGTGTATATACTTTGTGTGTAAATATAGTGTGTATATGCATAGTTTGTGTACATATATATACTGTGTGTGTATATATAGTGAAATATATATAAAGAAAAACTCAGAATTTATAAAAGATTGCATATTTTTACATTAAGCACCTTCAAAGTCCTCTCTGTTTGATGCAATACACCTATCAAGAAACTTTTTCCCCACGCCTTTGGGAGGCTGAGGTGAGTGGATTGCCTGAGCCCGCGGGTTCGAGACCCGCCTGGGCAGCGAGACCTCATCTCTACAATAAATCAAAAAATCAGCCGGGCGTGGTAGCGTGTGCCTATAATTCCGGCTACTCGGAAGGCTGAGGCGGAAGGATCGCCGGAGCCCGGCAGGTCGAGGCTGCGGTGGCCGGGAGCGGCCACTGCACTCCAGTCTGGGCGACAGAGTAAGACTCTGACTCAAAAAAAAAAAAGAAACTTTTTCCACTGCTCAAAACGGTTTTTGAACTCTTCGATTCTGATGCCTTTTGGTGCTTCTGCCATTTTTGTTTCGCCTCTTCTACATCTGCAAGACGTTTTCCTTTGAGGACTTTTTCCATCCGTTTGGGACGAGATGGGTGAACAGGGTGGGTAGGGTTTGGGGGTCAGGCCGTTTTTGGTCAAAAACTGCTGAACACTCAGTGAGTTATGGGCAAACGCTTTAAAGAATCTCCCCGGGCTGAGCAGTGTGGCACAGCCTGTAAGCCCAGCACTTTGGGAGCCCAGGGGTTCGAGACCAGCCTGGGCGACCTGGTGAGACCTCCTCTCTACAATAAATCACAAAAACTAAGCCGGGCTTGGTGGCGTGCATCTGTAGTTCCAACTACTTGGAAGGCTGAGGCAGAGGGATCACCTGAGCCCAGCAGGTCGAGGCTGTGGGGGCCGTGAGTGTGCCACTGCACTGCAGCCTGGGCGACAAGAGTGAGACTCCGACTCAAAAAAAAAAAGATTGCCCCCCAAAAATCAGTGAAACCAACTCAGCCTCTCCCAACAACATCAGCTGGCACACTGATGCCGATGGGTTCCTAGAACACTTACCTAGCGGGGGAAGCCTGTATTACAAAAGGCCTCCTCTCGTATATACATGTGTGTCTGTATGTGTAGAGTAGTGGGTGTGCGCATGCGCGCACACACACTCCTGTAGACCCTCTCTGGGTTCTGAGGAGCTGAGTAGCTGCCGCAGTGTCTGTGGACTCGCAGGCTTGCACGTCAGGACCGAGCCTCAGTGCCCCTCACGCGGCTTCTCGGCTCTCCCGCCTGTTCTGTACACGGCTCCGTGCGCAGGGCCTGCTTAGAGACAAGGGGCCCGACCTCCAGCGAGGCCTCAAGATGCCTTCCAGTGCAGAGCTTCAACCAAAACAGGTGTCACAAAAGGCAAGCCACGAGACACAGGACCGTCCCGCCACAGGGAGCGTCTATTCGTCACCCATTCACTTTTTAAAACTTTTGTTGCTGAGTTTACAAATTATTTTAACTATTGAGAACATGCCACTCAAGCATAAAGCTGTTGTATTTGGAGGGAAATGGGAGGCCAGAGCCCCATCTCTCTATGCCACCCCATCACATTTCTTCTGGCTCCCTATGTCCCTTAAGAAACCTCCAAGAATGCCAGCCAGGTTGAAAGAACCTAGTTTGAAGACTACTGCTTTAAGCAATGTTTAAAGCAGCATTGAATTTACAAACTAAATGTTACTGGAATCTTCAGCAAAGATCAATATCCTTTAATAATATAATTGGAATATTAGAGAAAGTACTTCTTCAGTCCTGGGGTCAAAAGACATAGTCTTTAATTCCATAGTCCCAAAGTCTAAGATGTCAGCTATCAATTAACATAGGGTTCCTGCTTTTGAGTATTTTTAGAATTTTTTTTCCCTAAAGATAGAGATAGCTTTTCTCCCTAATTAGAAATGTATTAAATACCCATAATAAAAGTAAATATTTAGACCAGGCTTCTTCACCTTAATATCATTTTAATTTTGAACCAGGTAATTCTTTGTTGTGGGGCTGTTCTGTGCACTGTAGGAAGTTTAGCAGCATCCCTGGCCTCTTTCTGCCAAATGCCAATAGCATTGCCACACCCATTACAACAACCAAAAATATCTCCTGACATTGCCAAATGCTCTCTCGTGGGCAGATCACCCCTAATCAAGAATCACTAATTTAGACAAACAAGTATAAAAAAGAAACTAAAAGCCTCCCAGTTTGCAGGCTTCAGTCCATGGGATACTGAGGAGAGCAAGAGTAGGAAGGGAGCTGAAAGCCACAGAAAAATAACTGGCTTCAGTCCTTGAATTTTACAGTAAGGAGCAGGAATACGTGTTACACTTCAGTGCTGTATTACAAGTATATAGACCTTTTAGCAAGTAATGGAACAATGCTTAGTTTAGGTAGCTCCTGCTTAACACAAGACATACTAATCACAGGATCAAAATATGTGATAATAGGCTTCCCCTCTTTGTGGCGTTCAGCTTGCCTGAGTTGGATCTGTGTGTACTTTCTGTATATGGTGACAGGTATACTGCAGACTGTCCGAATAAACAGGTGTACTAGAGGATTTTTGGACAAACTTTGTGTATATTGAAATTACTAAAAGGCCAGAAGTTATTTAGAACTTCATTCAGCTCATGGAAGTAAATGAAAAATGTATTCTTATCTTTTACAGATACTTACATCTCAGAATTCAGTTTTTTATATTATATCCAGAAAAATGTCAAAACTCTATTAGGCCTATACATGCTTTTTAACTTTGGGGAAACTGAAAGAAATGCTCTTTTGGATTTTAGTCATTCAAAGTTGTATAACTAAAAATGCAAGTTCTATGTAATACCTTAACTGTATTATCAAATAGTATATCAGATATTACTTTGAGGTTATTTGTGAGCACTTCATGGAAGGTGGGTCTTATGATTGGTTAATGGCAAACAGATTGGTATGAAGGACAAGGGTTGGGTGTGGGATGTGGAGATGGGATTAAAACATGAGTTAGTAATGAGAGAAATATTGTCTACTAAATTTATAGTTTTTGCCTTAGCCTATACTCATCTCAGGGAAAGTGCTTCATGATATAAAGTTATTTAAAAGAAATTTTAAAATAGCCTCCATTAGAATATGTGCTCATTTTAGTGTAAGACCTCATTGATGTTAATCACATATTTGACATCAAGGTAGCTTTGTCTAAATTCCTGATACAAATGGAAACCTGGGTGTTTTACCTGTTCTGGTCACTGTTCTCTTTGGAATTCCTTTCGTGCTGTGTCCTACAGATTGACTACTTCAACAATCAGATCATTGTGGACCTTGTAGAGCAGCAGCACAAAGGAATCATTGCAATCCTAGATGATGCTTGCATGAATGTCGGCAAAGTCACCGATGAGATGTTCCTTGAAGCACTTAACAGTAAATTGGGCAAACATGGTCATTTTTCCAGCCGAAAGGTAATATGTTTAATGACACCTTCCTCTTCTTTTGACCTGTATGATTTTCCTCATTGTTTGACAGAGTTAAATGACTTTATATGCTGGGTTAAAAGAATGTCTACTTAAGTAAGAAAGAAGGGCCACAAACATCCATTAAATGATTTATTGCTGGGGATACATTCTGCTTTTCTGGTTTACAGTATGGCCAGACTGATAAGATCACATTATCCAGGAGAGGGAGCTCCAGACTGTCCAATTTGCTAGAAATGGGAAAAATGAACATGATTCTTTAGAAAGCATGATGTCATTTATAACCAATTGGTGCAGAGTACTTGTTCATGTGCTAGAATTTTGCTCCTGCATCTAATAATTCTAGCATGGAAAGTAGCTTTTGTCTTTGACTTTTTACTGTCATCCTCAGTTATAAAATGTGTGTGCACTGTCATGATTCTTCAGACTATGTGATTTTCTTGAAAACAGAGGAATTCCAGTTGTAATTCTAGTTACTACAAGGAAACACATTTCATTAAATGAATGGTTATGCTTTTAACTCCCTATTTTTCACAATCTAAAAATGTCGTAAACAGATCACATTTCTGTAATAATTGGTGGCAGTTGTGGTTATCAGACTTTCATGCCATGCTTTGCATGTAGTATGTTTGTCATTAGTATTGTTCAAGGAATATGTGTCAGAAAAGAAGCACATCATCATCACTGCTGAGACTTCTCTACAAGTACAGTCTTGTCTAACAGCAACCATAAGCTGAGGGGAAAACAGGCCCCCTGCTCCTTCTTGTCCATAAAGAAAGGAGACAACATTTCTGTTTTGCCACAATTCCATATAAATCTGTGACACGGCTGCCATTTTCCCAGCATGCATAAATCTGTTTTCTAACTTTGTCTCCTTTGAAATTATGTAATCAGAACAGGAAAATCCCACAATTCACTTGATAAAACCCAAATCATAAAGAAATAGATCTCTGGCTGATATTTATTTTAGGCCATTTGTTTCTAAAATATTCTCCTTTGTCTGTTACTGAGGTTTATAATCTTGCTATAAGTTGGCTTTCAGATACTACAGACTGATATGGGTTATACCACAAATACCTAACAAGTGCCTCTCATTTTCCAAGTGCAATCCAAAGTGCTAGGGACAGAGCAGTAAGCAAAGCTAGAAGCCTCCTAAACAATTTAGAGTGATGCTTCTAAAGATGGCATGATTACACAGGCAGATGTCCTATCTTTGAGGGATAGTTTCTAAATACCCTTTGTAATCACAATTTAGGTTTTGGAGCTCACCTAGCATTAGGCCTACCAGATGGTAGACAGTAGGTGTTTCAATTCAAAGTTGAATTGAATTGTTCACAGTCATACCAAATAAATATTACTTAAATCTTTGTTTAAATAAATAGATACAAGTTTTACATAAGAAATCAAATCCACCTCATTTTAATGTCTTCTACCTTGGCTGTTTTGCCTTGACCTGAATTAAATGTGTCAATCAAATATTTTGAAATATAATCTCATTCATAAGAGTAACTGTATGCCAGGCATGGTGGCTCATGCCTGTAATCTCAGCACTTTGAGAGGTTAACGTGGGAGGATCACTTGAGGCTGGGAGTTTGAGACCAGCCTGGGCAACATAGCAATACCTCATCTTTACAAAAAAATAAAAATAAATAAGTCTGATGGGGTGGTGCATGCTTGTAGTCCCAGCTACTCCAGAGGCTGAGGTGCAAGGGCTGCCTGAGGCTAGGAGGTCAAGGCTATGGTGAGTCATGACTGTGCCACTGCACTCCAGCCTAGGTGATAAAGTAAGACCCCAACTCAAAAAAAAAAAGAGAGACAGTAGCCATACCTACTACTTTTAAGTACTTGCTACCAGTGTGATAGGAAATGCTTAATAGTAACTTATCTGGGGAGAAGTTTTTTTATTTTTCTTTTAAATTGTGGGAGCTCAGGTTTCCCAACAGTCAGACCAGTAGCTCTTTCTTTTGGCATTTTCCCAGGACAAATACTGAGATGAGTGTGTTATTCTCTGGGTTTTTTGCCTAATGAAGGAAAGAAATGAAATGACCAAGCTGTCAGGATATTTTAATCACTATGAATTTTTTTGTTAAGTAATGCCGTTATCTGTACCCCACATCTTTACAATAAAATATATAAAAATAAAAAATAATGTTATCCTGTATGCTGAGCCAGGTGTCATCATCTATACTGCTTACTGATTAGATTTATTAACATATTAAATATGAGATTCTGGCTTGTAATAGTTTTTTTTTTAATTTAAGGGCTAAACTGTTTCTTATGCACTAAAATTACCATGGAGAAGCATGTAAATGATCCAGTAAAACATAAAATTATTACTTAAAATATCATTAACATAAAATGTTAAATGATAAATATATAACTACTATTACCAAAAAAGTAAAGAAAAAAATCTAAAACCTTCTGTGTCTAGACTGTTGAACTTTTTCAGTATTCAGATGTAAGACTATTCCATAGGTATAGATGTCTCTTGGGTCCTTTTCCTTTATGGGTTTTTTTGGGGGGTTTTTGTTTGTTTATATAAATACAAGGGTTTTTGTTAAAGGGGTTAATTCAAGAGAGAGCAGGAAGGAGGAATTAAACATTTTGAAGACTTTGCATATTAGATCCTTTGGTCGTTGTAGTTCATTTAACCCTCAGAACAACTCTGTAAGATATTTAAAAAGACAGAGCAAGTGGATAGTAGAACCAAGATTTGAACCTTGGTAGTCTGACTCTAATTTCCTGTAATTACTCACTTGTCAAATTAATAGACTAATTATTCGTTTAGCAATCTGCTTATCAGTAGAGAACCCACCATCATGGTTGGGATTATTTGTTATCTAATATTAAAATCTAAGTGGTTTTTGTATGTAACTGTACTCAGTGCTTTGTGGATATTTAGATGTCTGCTTAAGAGCTTATAGGATTCCAAGTGATCTTTCTTCACAAGGCAAACAGAAGTCTAGGAGACAAGGAAGGTGGTAGAAAATTGTGGAGCCCTCCAGGACCATATAAAAACTACCTTTCTTTAAATGATTCCTCGTCAGCATGAAAGAGCTGCAGAAGAGATTGATCTTCTGTGGAATGATAGGCCTGAACTGGAGTCCGAGCTTAACAGACAGAAGAGCCAGCCTACTGTGTACATAGGCGACTACAGACATTACATTTGGTTCCCTGGAACCAAATCCTTCCCAGAGTCCTTCACATACCACTTACTAATTACATGATCTTGGGTCAATTACTTAACCCCTTTGAGCCTCGTTTCCATATGTGTAAAAGAGAGATCATAATACTTACCTTAAATGTCAGTTGTGAGGATTGAATGAGATGTATGTGCCTAGCATCTAGTAAGCCTTCAGTATGGTTCTTTTTACGTGAACCTTGGAAGAGAAAGAGACTGTATCTATCACACTGGGTTGGACTGCATTAAGTTAGTAGCCAAGATTTAAGTGTCATAACAGTAGTATACTTCTCTCTCGGGAGCCCAGACTTCCTCCATCTTCTTGCTGTTCCATCCCCCAGGGACCATCCTCTGCATCCTGCTAGTGGGAGGAAGAAAGAAAGCACAGAGGGAGATCATCCACTTCTTACTAGCTTTGGCCTGGAGCAGCCACATTGTCCAGAACATGGTTACTTAGACATATTCACTTGCAAGAGTAGAAGGAAATATAGTCTAGCAATGTGAACTTCCGATGGAAAGTTCACAGTCTTTGCTATATAGGCCATATATTTAAATCAAGTCCCACACAATGTCATTCCATGATTTGTGACATTGTTATCATCATATATTAAGTTGGAATATATTTTTAGGAAAATAAAAATATCTGTTTTCAAAAATAATCTTCTTCTTGATTTTTTAGCTCTGTGCCTCAGATAAAATTCTGGAGTTTGATCGAGATTTTCGAATTCGACATTATGCAGGTGATGTAGTGTGAGTATCTTACTTTGATACCTAACATGATGACTTGCATGCAGCCTCACTTCAGAAAACATAACCAAGGAATATATAAATTTTTAAAATTTATTTATATTTTCAGTCATTTGATGTGTCAATATATTTTAATTTGGTCATTTAGAAATTGTCATATCTTCATTTATTTCTTGCTTTTCAATCATTTATTGAGCACATACTCTGTGCCTATGCACCATTCCTAGCACAGTTGGTACTCAGTAAAAATCAGTTGATAGATGAATAAATCATGAAAGTGTGTTAAAAACTAGGATAGGAAGGTTGATAAGATGGTCCTTGCCCTGAAGAAGCCAACAGTTTAGTGGAAGATACAAACAGGTACATCATAAATCATTATAATAAAGAATGGAAAGAGTAAAACCAGAGAGGCGCAAGCCATTGTGAGAGCAGTGAGAAGGAATAGTTAAATTCAGTGTGAGGAGTATAGAGTGGTCTTGATGGAGGAAGTGATATCCAACTTGAGTCCTCAAAGTAAAAGAGGGTTAGTCAGGGGAATGAATTAGAAAGAGGAGAGAGATGAGAGCGAATTCCAAGTACAAGAAGCAGTAGCCATAAAAAAGACCTGCAGGTGAGAATTACCTCTGTATTGAGAATAACAAGTGGTTGGGTAGCTACATAACAAATATTATTTGAAAAAAGTAAGATACTTGCAAGCCATATTTTTACTACAATACAGTAAAAGTAGAAACTGATAAGAAAATATAACTATTAGTATATTAGGTTCAAAGGGCTGCTATGACCAATTACCACAGATTGGAGGCTTAAAATAACAGAAACATTATTTCACAGTTCTGGAGGCCGGAAGTTCAAAATCAATTTATCAGCAGGGCCATACTCCCTCCTAGGCCCCTCTAGAGGAGAATCTGTTCCTTGCTTTTTCCTGCTTTGGTGGCTCTGAACATTCCTTGTCTTGTGGCCACATCACTTCAATCTCAGCCTCCGGGGTCACATTTACCTCCTCCTCTTTTGTGTGTCTGTGTTAAATTTTCCTCTGCCTCTATCTTGAAAGGACACTTGATATGGCATCTAAATAATAAAGGATAAATTCTTTCCTCAAGATGCTTAGTCATATCTTTTCCCATATAAGGTAGCATTCACAGATTCTGGGGAATTTTTGACGTGGATATCTTTTGTTGGGAGTGACTTTTTTATCCTACTATATTTAGTATGTTTTTACTGTCCACCAAATACTGTTCTTCATCTTATTGTTTAAAGTATTCTCTTCCCTTTTTTTTACATTTGGAATTCTTTTCATGTATCCCATTACAAGATGAAGTTAAACAAAAAAAGTAAATGGTTATCTCTATAAATGCTGAAAAGACATTTGAAGAAATTTTAATTGCTGTTTCTGATTTAAATTAAAATTCCAGAATCATAAAATAATATAACAGAAAATTATTACCTCATCTGTCAAATTAGCCATCAGTACTAGAATGGCACCATTTCCCACTTTCTCTGGTCCTGTTCCCAAGTTCCAGAATACTGAAGAGGGAGAAAGATCCAGTACCAGACAGACATCTCCCATTAAAAATCAAAGTTTCACTTACAGGGTGCTTTTATATAACTCAAAATGGCATAAATGCAGAGTTGCAGAGGCCTTAGAGATCACCTAGGCCAGCCACTTTGTTTTGCAGATGAAGAAACTTAGGCAGAATGAATAAAATCTTTACCTAAGGTCACACAGCAAGTTTGTGGAATCAATAACTAGGTTTCCAGACTCCCAGTTCAGAACTCCAATTGATCCCTTTGAGGGATATTTAATGCCTCAGACTTCCTCTTTTCTCCTTAAGCCCTTCAGTTCTTTTTTGGATTTTTACTGAGTATCTTCTGTGTGCTTAATACTTTATGAGGTATGGTCCCTGCCCACAAAAAGCTTTCCATGTAAGATATATGCATACATATATGGTTGTGTATTCATTTATACACACATGTCTATACACACACATACACATACATACATGTATGCAATAAAAGATCATCTTTAAAAATTGCCATATGAGTAATAGCAAGTGCTGTCGGAATACAGAATAAGGAAATACTTACAGCTGTGTGTGATTAAACCCTGGAAGGCCAATGCTGATTTTTGGAGGCTAGGAATTATTTTTAAAGGAAGAAGTGGGAAGGATGATTTTAAAAAATATTCAGGAAATAGCAGCTAGGTCCATTTGATTGGAGTGTTTCATTTTTATAGCACAGAGAAGTATCTCAAAAAGTAGCTTGAGATCAAATCACAATGAGTCCTGAAAGCCAGAGTCCTTCAAGCTCCAAAGTATGAGTTGTATGAGTTAGACAATAAATTAAGAAAAGGTCAGGTGACGTCAAGGGTTCAGTCAAAAGTGACTTGAAGACAAGGGAATAATTTTGGACTTGGTGACCTTAAAGTGCTCATGGGCAGCACAGCCTGAAGGAACTTTCTTGCAGAATTAAATATGTAAGGCAAGGACTCAGGGTTAGAGATCTGGGAATTGCCTACATTGATAGGATTGTCAAGGAAGAAAGCATAGACAGAGCTGTAAGGCCCTGCTGCATCTAGAGTTAACTGCTTAACTTCCTAGCCTCTCTCTTAATCACCCAAAGCCCCTGATTACTTTTATGCTCCCAACAATGAATTTGCTCCTCCTGAAGTCCAGGCCAGTCACTGAAGCAGTACAGCTTCCATTCCCACTCTTCTCTCCAACTGCAATCTTAGCTGGCCTTTCAAGGCCTCACTCATCTCCCTTCCTCCAGCCATGAGTACTGGCCTCCCCATTCTCTCTCCAGAACTCCATGCATGTGCCTGCTTTCATTCCTCTATTCAATGTTTCCCTGTGTGATCTATCTGCCTTTTTCTCCTCTGCTTATCCAATTCTTACCATCCTTTGCAGTTCTCGGATTCTTTTATCCTACCCTGAACATTGAGTGAACCTTAGGCAAGTCACTTGACCTCCATATGGAAGAGACTGTTAGTTCCTGTATGTTGCTGTTTTACTTTTATATTAGGAATGCTGGATGATAAATGCCCATATCTTTTTAAAAGCCATCTCCTTGAGGTAAGCATAAACTAGTAGAAAATGATGATCTTAGTCACAATGATAGTACTGATATTTGCCCTCCTTTTGAAGAATAGAAGCAAAGTCCCTTCTATTTAGTAGGTAAATTGGATATCCTTTAACACAGAACAAGACGGACAATATCAGCTTTTTAGATGTTCAGTTACATAATTAACAGAGGAAAGGCTTGTAAACTCCTAGAAAAGTTTAAATGTGGCTCTTGCTTGGGGAATAATGCATGTTTTCTGTGTTTTTCCCTATTAGCTATTCTGTCATTGGTTTTATTGACAAAAATAAGGACACTTTATTTCAGGATTTCAAGCGCCTTATGTATAACAGGTAAGATTGAAATTATATTAATTAACTTCATATTAAGCTCTTTGACATGTATAGTATATAATATTTATGCACATGATTATTTTTATGTGACAATTTTAAGAGTTTCTGGTAGACTTTTTAGTTCTGCTTTATCATACTTAATGAATGAAATAGTATATGACTTTGTGATTATAAAATCTGTAAACTTATGACAGGGCCTGCTACTGATATAATTTGCTTTCATTTCCCTTGGGTTGCCTTGATGTCTTGTTCACCTTCTGGCACCCTCTATCAGTGTACTCAGCAGTTCCCAGGCCAGACCAATGGTGATGGAAGAAGTGTCAGGTGACCTCTGGCCCAGCTGGAAGCTTTGCACACTCAGATTCCCACTGTAGTGTGTTTCCCCCGAATTGAGACCACTCTGATATCACAGTGGCATCTCATGTTGGTGAGCACTGATTGTGACTGAGCAGATAGAATCTTCTTACAAACCAACAAAATGTGAAAAAGTTGTGGCAAAATAAACCAGGCAAGTTTAATCCCAGTATGGATACTTTGGCAAGAAGACTCATGAAGAAGAAAGAGGATTCTTGGACAGCTTCTTATAGGTCGGAGAACTGTATTCACTATTCATTAAGTCTACTTAGTTGGTCAGTAGCTTATCAAAATGTGTTGAGTACCTTTGAGCCACACGTTCTTCTATGATCTGGGATACAACTATGAAAAAAATATAGACAAGGTCCCTGCCTCCAGGGAGCTTATACTGTAGTGGAGGTGATAGTTAATAAGCAAGGAAACAATTTTCAGATAATGACAAGTATTGTGCAGAGAAATAAAACAAGTAAGAGATTGGAGGGTCCAACTGAGAAAGGCAGGGTAGGTGCTATAGATAGTAGGGTAGTCAGAAAAGGCCTCCTACTAAAAGTGATATTTTAGCAAAGTCCTGAATGAAGTGAAGAGGGGAGCCATGCTGGTAGCTGGAGGAAAAGCATTCCAAGCAGAAAGAGTAGCTAATACCAAGGCCCTAAGGCAGGAATGAACGTTAGTATATTGTTAGCAGGAAGGACAACAGAAAGGCCTGTGTGGCTAAACACAGAGGAGGGATGGAGAGAGTCGTAGGGAATAACCTTAGAGAGGTAGGCAGGGCCTGCATTATAAAGAGTCTGTGAGCCCAGGTAAGGACAGAGTATGAAGGAAAGCCATTGGAATTTGTGATGCAATATGATGTATATTTTAAAGAGATCACTGGTGCTACTGTGTAAGATGCATACTGTATAGGGCAAGAGTGGAAATAGAGACCAGTTAGGAACCTAGTTTAGTTATCCAGGCTGAAACTTGGGCGATAGTGACAGAGATGCCATTTTTCACGTGTCAGATTGGGTGGTATTTTAAAAGTAGAGTCAACAAGAATTGCTGATGAATAGGACACGTGATGTGAGGGAAAGACAGAAATCAAAGATGATGCCTGAGCCTGATGCAGGAAGACAAGAGTAAGCTAAACAATTTGGTTGTGGGCATTCAAGAGGTTTGTCTCAGATACGTTATGTCTGAGGTGCATATGGATACCCAGTTGAAGATGCCCAACACACAACTACTTGGATGCATCTGGGTCATGGGAAAGATGAGGCAAGAGATACAAATTCAGGATCATCAGTATACTGATTGTATTTAAAACCATAGACTGGATTAGTGTATAAGTCAAGCAAGGAAGGAGGAAGTAGCAAAGGAAGCTGAGAGCATGCCAGTGAGTGAGGAAGAAAATCAAGAATCTGGTGTCACAAGAGGCCAAACCAAGAAAAAATACTTTAAAAAGATAAAAATTTTAAACTATTTCAAATCTTGTCAAAAGCATAAGTGAGGTGAAGACCAAGACTGACCATTGGATTTGCTAATTTCAAGGTCAGTGGGACTCTTGACAACACTGGTTTCCCTGGAGCACTGGAGACAAATGTTTAATTGATGTGGGCTCAAAAGAATACAGGAAATGAGAATGTAGAGGCACTGTGTTTAAATAGCTCTTTCAAGATGTTTTGCTATTGAATTGTTCACTGTGTGGATGCTTTCACTTTTATGTTTTCTGCCATGGCATTGAGGATCATTTTCCTACTGGTGGTTTGTCCCCATTTTTAACCATAACAAAAATGATTTTGTTTGATGTATATAAGGTAAGAACCATGTTCACCATTTGAGGATCCTAGGTAGTAATAATAAGAATGTCACTTTAAAGAAGTTTAAAGAATTTTTTAGATGTGCTATTGTTTTGAAAAATCTCAACTTGTGGTGCAGTATCAGTTATTGTATTTCCAGCATAATTTTCTGGCTGGAATCATTCTTCCAATTAGGCCTTGTGAGTTCAATCTATAGTCCAGCTATAATTCAACAGGATTGATTAGCAGTTTTTATTCAGCTTATTTGAATGTAACATTTGAATTGCTCTTTCTGTGCTTCCCAGTTCAAATCCTGTGCTGAAGAATATGTGGCCTGAAGGCAAACTGAGTATTACAGAGGTGACCAAGCGACCTCTGACTGCTGCTACCTTGTTTAAGAATTCTATGATTGCTTTAGTAGACAACCTTGCATCAAAGGTAATGATTTTCTTTTCTAAACATCTATTTTAACTCATAGATTTCCTCTTGGCATATGTTATAGAGAATGTATGTATGATTTGTTTTTTAGGTAATCATACGTAATCAAATTAAAGAATAGGTATATATTTAAAGTGAATGCTATAAATAGAATTTCTGTCCCTGCTTTTTTTTTTTTTTTTTTTTTTTTTTTTTAATGCCTGGATATAACAGTTGTTTGTGTTCCAGATGAATACTTTTCTTAAATTTGGGCTTTTTATCCTACTGTCATGGTCAAGGAGAAAAATCTTAGATTTAAAAAATAGATAAGAGGCCGAACTCGGTTCAGCCTGTAATCCCAGCACTTTGGGAGGCTGAAGCGAGTGGATTGCCTGAGCCCATGGGTTCAAGACCAGTCCAGGCAACTTGGTGAGACCTCGTCTTTACAATAAATAAAAAATTAGCCGGGTGTGGTAGCATGCTCCTGTAGTTCCAGAGGCTTGGAAGGCTGAGGCAGAAGGATCACCAGAGCCCAGCAGGTCGACGCTGTGGTGACCGAGTGTGCCGCTACCCTCTAGCGTGGGTGAAAGAGTGAGACTCCAACTCAAAAATTAAAATTAAAATTAAAAAATAGTGGCTCAGCCTGTAATCCCACACTTTGGGAGGCTGAGGTGAGTGGATTGCCTGAGCCCGCGGGTTCGAGACCCTCCTGGGCAACTTGGTGAGACCTCATCTCTACAATAAATCAAAAAAATTAACCGGCCGTGGTAGCATGCGCCTGTAGTTCCGGCTACTTGGAAGGCTGAGGTGGAAGGATCGCCGGAGCCCAGCAGGTCGAGGCTGCAGTGGCCGGGAGCAGCCACGGCACTCCAGTCTGGGCGACAGAGTGAGACTCCAACTCAAAAAAAAAAAAAAATATATATATATATATATATATATAGATAGATAGATAGATAGATAAGAGATAGCATGCCTGACAAAATGAACTTCAACCCTGTGCTAAAGACAGAGCCTGACCTGAATAAATAAACAAAATCTGGCATTAAATTTTAAAATGTACTATCCATATATTGTGTTTGAATACAAAGTGACCAGAGAGTTCTAAGAGGAAGTTTAGTATGCAAGTATTATCCTTAGGCTATTTTAAATAGGTGACTATAGGCCGGGCTCAGTGGCTCAGCCTGTAATCCCGCACTTTGGGAGGCCGAAGTGAATGAACTGCCTGAGCCCGAGGGTTCGAGACCTGCCTGGGCAACTTGGTGAGCCCTCATCTCTATAATAAATCAAAAAATTAGCCAGGCGTGGCAGCGCGCACCTGTAGTTTCAGCTACTTGGAAGTCTGAGGCGGAAGGATCGCGGGAGCCCAGCAGGTCGAGGCTGTGGTGGCCGGGAGCGGCCATTGCACTCCAGTCTGAGTGACAGAGTGAGACTCCAACTCAAAAAAAAAAAAAAAAGTTGACTATAAAGATACATTATTGGCAGTTATTTCTGCTTTTTATTATTCCTTCGAGGGCTAATACTATTTGATAGTATTAGATAACTTTAGTCTGTTTTTTTCCTTAAGGAACAGATTTCTTCTCTTAACTGCTGCTGTTGACAAGTTTGATAAATTAGGCAGCGTTCTTAGCCTCGTTATTTTTAGTTTCTTCATTTTTATCTTTTTCTTGTGGTGCTTTTCCTATGTGGCTTCTTCTTCATTATCTTTTTTTTTTTAATTAACTTCCTCTCTAAGAATTTAAATCTGTACTGTTTCTGGTTACTTCACTATGGATAAATTAGGCAAATGCCATAGGAACACATCTGTTCAGTAGCTTTCTCTTCTTTTTCATCAGGATTCTTTGGGCTCAAGTGACAGCAAATAAGCACAATTTGTTGGCTTGTATAAACAAACCTCCAGAAGGGAGGGACACTGGCACCAAAAACTAGAATACCATTAGGACTCTACTCTTGTGTCTCAGCATCTCTCTGAATGTCAGCTACAGCCTGCTTCATCCAGCAAGGAAAAAGTGAACCTGGAAGAAAGGCATGTGACATAAGAAACAGTTAAACACTGAATTTCATTAAATATTTTTACTTATTTAATTAACTAGATTTACTTAGCTAGAAAAAGGAGTGTTCTTTTGTATTCTAAAATTGATAATTAAATGTGCCTTTTAAAGAAATAAAAATTTCAAAATCTTTTATAATTTCTGTACTGGGAATTCCATTCAGCTTCTAATAAGAGACCCAAAAATTAGTGGCTTAAATAAGAGACATGTTTATTTCTCTCTTCTGTAAATGAAGTACAGAAGAAAGCATCCCAGGACTGATAGAGCAACTCCAGGGTTATTAAAGACCCAGGTTCCTTCTGCCTTTGCTCTACCATCCTGAGTGCTTGTCATCCATCCTTCTAATCCAAGATAGCAGGTGGAACTCCTCCCTTTTAAAGAGATTTCCTGGAAGTTTCACATAGGACTTCAGCTACATCCCATTTGCTGCGTGTAATTGCCAGGGAAGCTGAGAAGTACATTTTCATTCTGTTCAGCACGCCCAGCTAGTCATAAGAATTCTGTTTCAAATTAGGAAAAAGATACTGGACATAAGGTAGATAATAGATAACTAGCCAAGCAGTCTCTGCTAACAGCTTCCCAATCTGGGTGTGTGTAGAGGTGAGGGAAGGAGAGAGAGAGTAGAGATATAAATAGCTTATCATAAGTTCAATAGAAGGCAAGAAGTGGGGAGGCCAGAGTGGGGAGTTCAGAAGAACAGAAGCAAACAAAACATGTTACATTTAGAAAATACAAATCATATGGTAAAAAGAAAATCTAAATAGTATGAACCATAAATGTAAATAGACTAAACAGACTAGATAGAGGGAAAATCCAACTGAATGCTGCTTACAAGAGACACATCTACATTTGTCATGCAGAAAGCGCAAATTAAAGACATTGATAAGGATATGTCAAGCCAACCCCATCACCAAGAATGGTTAAAAACAATCTTAATATGAAAAAATATAGAATTTAAGAAAGCAGATATTAATATGGATAAAGAAACCAGTAATAACAAAATAAAAATACCCAAGACAAGGAAACCACTTTGAACTAGATACCTAACAACATAGCCATGCTTATTATGAACTCTTTTTTTTTTTTTTTTTTTTTTT